TCTCTGTCCCCAAAAAAATAAACGTTGAAAAAAAAAATTTTTTTTTAAATACAAAATAAGAAAAAAAAAGAAGTCCTATCTCTCCAAGAGTTGATTGTGTGATTGTGTTATAAGTTCAATATTCCGGACTCTCCCTATGTCTTCTACCACAGTACGAGCTTCCTGGGTGGCACTGGGAGAGAGATCTTAACAGCTCCCTCCGAATCCCAAGGCGTAACCCTTGGCCTGCCAGGCCCCTTTACCTCTGGGAATTTTCCCAGGCTTTATCCCCTGAACTGTCCTTCTCCTCGGCTGCTGGGCTTGTGGCCCTTGAGTTCAGACAGTCATCTGCCCTGGTCCCATGTCCCTGCGGGGCCACCATCTCCCAGCTCCGACTTCACAGGCCTCCCCTACTAGGTTGCCTTCCAGCTTCGGTTCCTGAAAACCCCTCCCTGGCTCCAATCCAGAACCGGCCCCGCCCTCCTCCACTCACCTGGGACGGGAGGTCAGACAGCGGGATCTGCCTCTCTTCTGCTTTTATCCCCACTCTTAGCAGCCAGCGTGATGGCTTACGCTTACGTTGCTTTTCGGCACGCTCCCCCCACCCCCGCCAGGTTTCCGTGCTAAACCAGAACCCCAATGAGGTTCGTTTTCCTAATCCTTTAAGGCTATCCGAGATCCCAACCGTTATTGAGGTCTTAGTAGTGACTGAAATAGAAAAGTGAGTCTGAACACCTGTCCGGTTCATAACTTCATCATCGAGATCATAACATCGTTTCTTAACGTCTATGATATGCCCGACACCGTGCCGCGTGCTTGGCAAACATCATCATCCATGCCCACCCATACCCCACCTTCAGATAGGCGGCATTGGCTCCAGTTTACGTGGGAACAAGTCGAGGCACCCAAGAATTACTTCACTTCTCCCAAAGTCACCCATTGGGCGCACTGTGGAGCTGGAATAGGAAACCGGCTCCCTCTCACTTCAAAGTCTGAGATGCCTCAGCTCCCTTCAAGATTCCACTAACCACTGACCTTCTGCCTGTTTGCTCTAGAGCCTTTACGCACTCAGAATGTCAGGGAAGACTGTCAGTGAACCTGCCACTCCCGGGATCCTTTGTACCCAGTCCTAGGAAGTGTCACCCCCGAAAGCTAGCAGGCACATCTTAATCTGTGGCCACACTGACCTCCCTGGTGGACCACGGTGGCCAGTCTTCTCTGCCGGACTCCATCACGGCCCTTTCCTGAACTGCTAGGTGATGGGCGCCAGGCCTCTGGAACTCAGGGCAAGGGGGATCAGATAGGCTCATGGAAGACTCCCACTATTCTTCCTATTTTCTAGAAACATTGCAGAGTAGAAATCACTATCTCCCGTGGATCCGAAGCTGAGCCTGGACTTCGAAATAGTGGCTTCTCCAGGGGCGCCTGGGTGGTTCAGTCAGTGAAGCATCTGACTTCAGCTCAGGTCATGATCTCAGGTCCGTGAGTTCGAGCCCCGCGTCAGGCTCTGTGCTGACAGCTCAGAGCCGGGAGCCTGTTTCAGATTCTGTGTCTCCCTCTCTCTCGGACCCTCCCCTGTTCATGCTCCATCTCTCTCTGTCTCAAAAATAAATAAGTGTTAAAAAAAATTTTTTTAAAAAGTGGCTTCTCCATTCTACTTGCAATTTTCCAACATGAAGATCCCAGCGGTCGAAAGAAATGATCTGAAACAGACACTCTCACTCTTGGACTAAACGAGGAATCTATGCTGAATACGTTTTTACACTTTTTAATTTTTTTTTTAAATTTGATTTTTGAGAGAAGGAGAGAGAGCAGGGGAGGGGCAGAGAGAGAGGGAGACACAGAATCGGAAGCAGGCTCCAGGCCCGAGCTGTCTGCACAGAGCCCTATAGGCTCGAACCTAATAACCGTGAGATCACGACCTGAGTCGAAGTCGGACGCGTAACCGACTGAGCCACCCAGGCGCCCCTGAGTACTTTTTTAGGGTTTCAGTTTTCCCTACCGGTAAAATGGCATCGGTAATGCCTTCAAACATGGGTTTGCTGGCAATGATTAGATCATATATTATGAGATGCTCTCCCTCCCCTAAGCCTGGCTTGCACTCTCCCGTTCACCTGTCTTCCCAAGGCCAGACAGTGGGATAAATGTAAGTCAGGAAGTATTAACAAGCAACAGGCCAACGGTAGACATGTGTCTAGTAAATAACAGTCTTTGAACAGCATGTGGAGGGATGCTTTTCACAGAGAGGAAAGATCTAGCCTGGTCTCCTCCACTGTAAAAACCCTTGGTGCCTGTTTTCTAGACACAGGCTAAAGGTTTTATCCCGAGTCTGTCAAGACGAACAGTTTCGTTAACGAGACCCGTTAGAAAGAAGACCAGCCTGAGTCTGTGAGAGTCAAGAATTATAGAATATTCAAAAATGAAAACCAAAAAAATAAAATAAAATAAAATAAAATAAAATAAAATAAAAATGAAAACCAGTTTTTGTTCCTGGACACATAGAGCAAATCTAATCCAGAAAAGGTCTGGGTGGTTCAAATTCTGCCAGGCATATTTTAAGGCCGAGAAAGAAAGGTTTATAATTACGAGCACCATTTACATGATAATACTGCTATATCTGACATAGTTTGGGATGTTTGGAAACAGATTGTTCCCACAGAACTACAAACATTTCTGCTACTATCACAAGTTTGTGCCATTTATGGTGGCATTCTGGAAGAAACAGACGTGAACAAAGGTGGGCCAAAGTTTGTGTCTGGGAATCGTGCTGCAGCACCGCGAGTGTGTGGGGCTCAAGTTCACGGCATCTCTTCTTTCAAATACTAGTGGAGGAGAAGCTAATAATTGCTGAGGCCCACAGTCTTTGAGCAATCGCAGTTGTAAAAACATGTCCCGACTTTTTTCCCTCAATTTGCTTTAGTTTTTTTTCCCCCTCAGAAGGGATTGCAATCTTGCAAAAATGTAAGTTTATCTGTTTACTCCTTTTTTTTTTTTTAGTTCTATAACTACAAATGAGAGCCAGAAAGTTTTTAAGTGGAAAGTCTCTCTATTTTTCCCACAGTCCTAGATCTTATTAATATAATGGGTAAAATGATTTAACTCAAATTCTGATTCCCCCAAACTAAAACAAGCCATTATCATCGAGGTGTAATCAGAGAAGTGATGGAAATTTTAAAGGCAGACAGAAGTCATAATGTTCTTAAATGGAGGGTAGGGACATTAACTTATATGGTCTTAATTCTCGTGGTTGATATTACCCAAAGTTCTTAATTATACTGGTAATTTAAAAAATACTTGCCATATGAGAATGCTTAAGCAGTTTTGGTCTCAGGACTGCAGTGAGAATCTCTGAGGTTGGGCTAAAAGGATTCCTATTTACCAAATGTGGGCACATTTCATTCATGTGACTGGGGGCAGTGACGGTCGTGACATTTTTCAGTCTGAGTCTGTTCTTCGCTACTATGTGCCTCCCTTCTGGGTGGTCCAGGTGGCCGGCCACTGTCGGTGGCCTTTGAAGCATGGTACTCCTTCTCATGCCTCGTCCCAACACTGAGACATTACCCGCACAGGATGCCTCCACAAATGAGCATACAACCTACTCCAGACAAGAATGGTTTGGATAATCCACGTCAGAATGATAAATGATCAAATTGCCACTTATCTTTCGAAATCATCGTAATGTAAACGTGGCAGGTGGAGAAAGGTTTGGGCCACGAGGCCGGTGAGCAGCTATGTCATCAGGCATGGCTTTGAAGAGTCCCCCTGAGAAGTACGATTTGCTGCTCAACCACATTTCTTGCCTCTGTTTCCTCTTTATTGCCAGTGAAAGTAGGAGTTTTGATAACCTGTAGATTCCACTTTTTTAAAGTTTATTTATTTTGAAAGAGAGAGAGAGAGAGAGAGAGAGAGAGAACGGGGGAGGGGCAGAAAGAGAGTGAGAGGGAGCATCCCAAGCAGGCTCCGCGCTGTCAGTGCAGAGCCCGATTCGGGGCTCGAACCCACGAACTGTGAGAACATGACCTGAGCCGAGATCAAGAGTCAGATGCTTAACCGACTGAGCCACCCAGGCGCCTCTACTCTACTTTTCTTTGTCGATAAAGAACATTACTGCTCGTGAATTTCACAGCCAGGGACGAAACACACCTCTCTCCCCCGTGCTTAGCAACAATTTCCTTGGGAGAACCTTCCAGCCTTTCCTATGGACTTTGAGCAGCCTGAAAGGAGAGAAGCTGCCTGGGTGTGCACATGGTCAATTAGGCGGCTTTACCGACAAAGGGCCAAAGCATGCTGGGAAACCCGAAAAGCAGGAAAAGCACGATTCTCCCGCAAGCCCCGTGGGCCAGCCATCTAGCTCAGGTTTGGACTACGATCATGGTTCTGCAGCCCCTGACAAAGGAATACGGCTCCTCTCCCGACTCTGGGAAGTCGCACCACCTTCACGGAGCCCTTCGTCTTACCTTTGAGCTACACTTGTACAACGGGTGACTGATAGAATCAACATAGTGGTGCCTCATGCAGCGCAGAGGGTCCGAGTCGATCATGAACGAGCTGTCCGTTTTGCTGTCTGTATCTCCCATCAGCACCAGCAGGGAGAGCATAGAAAAAGATGCCGCGAGTGCATGATTTCTCATTGTTGTAAGGAAAACTTCTCAGAAGGAACAGCAGAGGGAGGCAGAGGACTAAAGATCGGCAATGCCTTCGCCCCCCCTAGGATCCAGTTCCTTCCCAGCAAAGGGCACGATCTGGCCGGAGCTTTCTGGTTGTCATTGTCCTTTGTGTGTCGGAGTCGGGTCTCACTCTTTCCACTTGCAATCCACCCTCACGATATCTGCCGCACAGCTGGAATGAAAACAGAAATGGTTTTCCCCGGAAACATTTACCCAGAAAAACGAATGGAGCCCAGGAGGTATTGAGTAGAATTTTTCCACGTCGTTTTGAGGAAAGAGTATCGGTTTCCAGAGTGCCATTAGCACGGGCTGTCCTTCATCTTACCAGCTCCCGCCCCATAGCTTGTGCTACGTATTTATAGCCATTGGGAGGTGGACGCAATGGTTTCAGGAAAGCACATGTTGATTTCAGTTGCCGGAGCCCCACGTTTCTAGGAGCAAGGATAGTTTGAACTCACGGTCAAGATGAAACATGTGGTTCTGGCCCCAGCGTAACTGAATACGGGTGGTCCCATCCCCATCCCTGGCTGGTGGGGGCGGGAGGGTCTATCCAGCTTCTCAGTGAGCTCTGGTGGCCACGTCAAGCGCACAGGACTAGAAAGGAGGCAGGCCAACCCGAATGAACACAGGCCGCGTCCCAGGGGAAAGCAGCTCAGTTTTCATTTCCTAGTCCACCCACCTAGTTTTCCCCTTCTGTGCTCTGGGCCCATCCTGTTTTCCTTTGAAGCCCCGTGCCACCCAGCATCAATGACAAAGTGCATCTGAAATACACATTATGCGCGCCGGCCCCCAGTGTGGTTAAAGCGACACCCGCGTTATTTGCCAAAGAGTCACACGTTTCCGCAGAGCCTCTGTAGCCTGAGCACCTGGTATAATGTGACAAAGTAAGTGGTCGTCAGAGCAAACGCTTACCATTACGATGGGATCAGGGTATACCAGTTGTCCTGGAATTTGCTTTGTGCTTTTTTTTTTTTTAATATATGTATTTCTTTAAAGTTTATTTATTATTGAGAAACAGAGAGAGACAGAGCACGAGCAGGGGAGGGGCAGAGAGACAGGGAGACACAGAATCCGAAGCGGGCTCCAGGCTCCGAGCTGTCAGCACAGAGTCTGAGGCGGGGCTCGAGCTCACAAACCGCGAGATCATGACCTGAGCCCGAGCCGGAGGCTTAACCGACTGAGCCACCCACGCGCCCCAAAACTTGCTTTATTCTTTCAACTATGTACTTCTTGGGCAAGGGACTGAGGTCCTGAGAGCTCCCCATTTCACCTCACTAGCCCCCCTCCACGTGGCCAACATGGGTGCTTTTTATCCCACCAGATGACGGAGCCTCAAAAATATTTGCAAACTTTTAGGAAAACTAGGGGGACCTGTCGTTACATCCCAAACAAAAGGAACACGATAATGAAAGCTTCGGACAAACTTTCAAAAGGTATTTCAGATAAGAGTTTGATTATTTTGTTCATGGTACAACATTTTTTTTAACTTCCTACTTATGGCCAGTCCAAATAAACAGGGCAAAGTAATGATAAGATCCAGATAAGAAGTTCAAGTCCCCGTAAGTCAATTCGTTTTGCTCCAATAGAATGGCCCCAGACCCACTTAGCCTCAGTTAGCTCTCTTGTGAGTGGGGGGGTGGGGGATCCCAGGCTGAAAAGTGTATGTGACAAAGGGCCGTTTCAGAGAACGGCATCCCTGGTGATGGCATAATCTCATCGCGAGTGTTTCTGGGAAATCCTATAAATGGCAGGACGGGCAGGGACCAGTAATGAGGAGACCAACCTGAGCTGGAGCACTGCCATCGATTAGCTGGGAGACCTTGCACAGGGCATTTCAACTGGTCTGGCCTCAGTTTCCCCATCTGTAGAGTAGGAGAGTTGGAAAAGATGGCGCCTACAGTCCCCTCTTGTTCTAAAACGGCCCCGCCTGATACACACGGATTCAGTCACCACCGTCTCCAAATGTAGAAGACAGTCCTAAAGGTAAGACCATATCTTCACACAACTTTGCACCACTTTCTTTTATGAGCTTGCTAATGGCAACATCTCATGAAAACTGATCAACCTGGGGCGCCTGGGTGGCTCAGTCGGTTAAGCGTCCCACTCTTGGTTTTGGCTCAGGTCATGATCTGGCAGTTTTGTGAGTTCAAGCCCTGCGCTGGCAGCACAGAACTTCCTTGGGATTCTCTGTCTCCCTCTCTCTCTGCCCCTCCCCACTAGCACTGTCTCTGCCTCTCTCAAAATAAATAAATAAGCTTTAAAAAAATTTATTTTTATTTATTTATTTATTAAAAAAATGTTTTAATGTTTATTTATTTTTGAGAGACAGAGAGAAACAGAGTGCAAGTGAGGGAGGGGCAGAGAAAGAGGGAGGCACAGAATCCGAAGCAGGCTCCAGGCTCCGAGCCGTCCGCACAGAGCCCGACGTGGGGCTTGAACTCATGAACCGTGAGATCATGACCTGATCTAAAGTCAGTCGCTCAACCAACTGAGCCACCCAGGCGCCCCCCCCCCCAATTTTTTTATTTTTAAAAAATTGGTCAAACCTGAGCCTAAAGCTCCAAACTGGCAAAGAATGACAAAGAGCATTTTTGTTTTGTTTTGTTTTCTTTTCGGCTGCACATCACACTGAAACTCACCAAGATTTCACCTCAAAGAGCCAGAGCTTTCTAGGGTTCAACGTTCAGAAGCTGCAGCATTACTGACCATTTCCTGAGTTTCAATATGACTATATTATCCCAAGTGGTTATCTGTCTCTTTGAAGCCTTAATTAGTCTCAGAAAAGGAATTTATAGATTTCTCCTTTTACCGCTCCAGCCCTACAGGTATTTCCCCCCAGGAATCGGCGGTGAAGGGGTGAAGGGAAAGGCAGACATTCTGGTCCTGGCCCTCCCTCCCCACTTCCAGCCACTTCTCTTCAGAGCCGATGGCCAGCAGGGATGGTTAAATGAACAAAGCAAAATGAAAGAAAAACCCGTAGCTTGATGGCAAACAAACAAAACAAAGAAACAAACAAACAAAAAAAAAAAACAAGCAAACGACATCCAATGACAAGACCCTATATATGTGAATGTCGAGACCCAGCTAGTCCATTTCTGAGAATTACCCTCCGTGTGAGATCACACAAGCATATGGCTATTCACTCCAACATTGGTTGTCATGGCATAAAGTTGGACACTGCACAGAATACCCATCACCAAGGGACTGGCTAAATATATTATACAGCATTCACACAATGGAATACTATGCAACTGTATAAAGAAGGATGCAGTGACTCTACTAATTTGTGTGTGATAAGAACATATATTTGTGTTCATTTATATTGGCACAGAGTCGCTCTGGCAGGGTAGTCAAGAAGCTCTACGATGAGCTATTTGCGACAGTGGGAGGATAGGCATGGGAGGAAGACTTTTCACTGTATACAGACATCTATTTTCTTTGTGCATTTCTGAACTTGTAAATGTATTGCCCATCCAAAATTTCATTCAAAAAAATTACACTTTGTCTTTTCAAAACTTGGCTTAAAAATAGCAATTAAGTTAATGGATGCTTACGATTTGTGCCAGTTTGAGTATTTTCGTAGTATTATATTTTTATCTCTTATAAATATTGGAAGACGTGTTAGTCTCTTTTTTAATTTTTTTTTTTTTAATTTTAGAGAGAGAGAGAGAGAGAGAGAGAGAGAGACCACCAGTGGGGGAGGGGGCAGAAGGAGAGAGAGAGAGAATCTCAAGCAGGCTCAGCATGGAACCTGATACAGGGCTCGATCCCAGGACCCCGGGATCACGACCTGAGCCGAAATCAAGAGTGGGACACTCAGCTGCTCAACCGACTGAGCCGCGTAGGGGCTAGTCTCGTTTCTTAGTCAAACATTGTTCCTGGTGGATCATTTGGTTCTTAAGCACTACTGCCACCTAGTAGCAACATCCTGAATTGCAAGCACAGTTGAATTTTTTTTTTTTTTCCTAAAAGGTAAAGATACTTTTTGCAAAAGTATTTTGCCAACAAATGCTGGGAAGCGTAGAACGGCAAAGAGATAGTTAATGTCACACAAAATGTAACTTTATTATCTGATTTTCTCGTTGAAGATAAGCTGAACCCAGAAGTGGTAATAAAGTATAAAAGCATGACAGGGAAAATGTTGCTTTACTGCTGATAAGAAATACATTTTTCATTTCCACACACTCACAAAGCATGGTACTTTTTGTTCAGTTTTCATGTTAAACTCCGAAACAAGAATCCAAGCAGCAATGTACATATGCCACAGAACTCACAGAGCTCTCAAAACATAAAGGTCAGATTCTTGCAACTTAACATTGGGATTTTTGCCTGAAGTGCTCAAATCGAATGAACCGCCACCATCGTGTGGAAGAAGAAGTAAACCTCACGCTCAAACAAAGAGCGATGTTAAATCAAGTTGTCCTAATGCCGTGTTGGTGGCGGGTGCATAGGGGAGAAGCGCACAGGGCCAGGGGAAGCATTCACGAAGAGGAACACGAAAATGAGGGAAATTCACATCACCCGAGAGCCCTGATTTACAGCGGCTTAGCGGCAATTGATGTCTGTCTTGAAGGAGCTCCTGTCACTTTTCCCAAAGTTAAATTAATTCCAATTTGCTTTCTTTCTTTCTTTCAGCCACATAGCATCAAAAATCAAATGCTGCCCATCGAGACTGAGAACCTCGGCCTGGCCAGCGATGGATTGAATGAGAAAGCGACTCTCTTGCTGAACTCAGGAGCTCCAGGGCCGCCCCGTGCGCTGGGTACGGTCTCTGACACACGGACTTGGCCGACGTACAGAGCCCACATTCTCATCCCTCCGATGTAGAGCCTCTGCCGGCAGGAGAGGCACGTAGGCCCGCGTGCCCGACTTTGGAGCTACCCTCCAAACGATACCAGTGGAAAAGAACAACTGGTGCCCAGATTTCCCCACCTGTCATCCTCGGGGAAATAATATAGCAGAGCTTACAGCGGGCCCAGCCTCCTGGGTGAGAGATGGTGTTGTGTCCACAGATCAGCTCACTCTTGGGCTGACCTTCTGCCTGGCAGAGGCCGGACTGCTGGTTTCACGCAAGTTATTCCGGCAACAGGCTAAGACAAGCGGCCTGTGCCAAGAATGGCCTTATTCTTGCCCCGCTTGCCAGGCGAGAGAGGGCAGTGCTTGGGTATCCAT